GAGAGAGAGAGAGAGAGGAGAGAGAGAGAGGAGAGAGAGAGAGAGAGAAAGAAGAGAGAGAGAGAGAGAAGACGAGAGAGGGAGGCAGAGAGAGAGAGCAGAAAGAGATGAAAGAGAGAGAGAGAGGGGGGCAAGAGAGAGAGAGAGAGAGAGAGAGAGAGAGAGAGAGAGAGAGAGGAGGCAGAGAGAGAGACGAGCAGAAGAGAGAGGCCAAGAGAGAAGAGAGAGAAAGAGAGCAGAGAGAGAGAGAGAGTAGAGAGCAGAAGAGAGAAGAGAGAGGAGAGAGAGAGAGAGAGAGAAGATGAGAGAGAAGAGAGAGAGAGAGAGAAAGAGAGAGAAGAGAGAGAGAGAGATGAGAGAGAGAGAAGAGAGCTAATTAATTGCTAACATTCCTGGTTAGTCAAATGTTTAGCTTTCCTCAAGTAACAATCATCATTTGTCCGTCAAACGAAATGTTGTAGCGCAAAAAAATTCGTACGAGAATCACCGTTTAGCCGTTTCTGCCATTATAATCAATTGAAGAGCGCTCCGACAAAAATCATCACATCATTCTATCGAGGAGTTAGCTGATATTTCCCCGATGGTGGTGGGGCTCAGACCTTCTGCCTCCCTATAGGTTAACTTCTATGCATGCTGGCAGCTAAAGCATCACGATTATTGTGATAACAACGCTACCGTGCAAGGTACGAAGCTAAACCGCCAGGTTTATCTGTCACCATAATAACCTGGAGGTACCAGCGCTTAAGAGGATTTACTTTCGGCTCGTGATGAGCACGGACCCCAGGAATCTGCGTTCCATGAGGTCACCGACTCATATGACTAGTCAATCCGATTGGTTACCTTCCAGATTTGTGCCACGCTCTGTGCAGCGGAGCTCCCGTGCGTGCGCTCGAGCATGCGTGTCAATACACGCTGGTGTGTCTTTTCCCCATCGCTGCAAGTAGGTTGTAAAGCGCTGTGCGAAGGCGTTACATACTACGCCAGAGTGTAAAGTACTCCACCTCGTGTATGCATGGTGTACCATAAGTGTCATTGCTCAAGCTTCTAGTCATCTCGTGTACGCACGTACAGGCGCGGACAGCTGTCACAAAATGCGCGCAAAACTGTGTTTATGAATTGCCGTCCGCGTGTGGGGGCATGTTTTGAGCCCTTTCTTAAAACACGACGTAACACGTTTCAAAAAACCAACGACGTCTTTTATTAATTGGTAGCAATGGCAGAAATGTTTCTTGTCGCAAGGTATGAAGTCAGTTTTCAGGATCCGATCGGCAGGCAGCAGCGGAATGAAGGCACATTCGTGTTGCTGTCGTGCTACGAATGTTTGGAGAAGGTAATGTGTGAGACGTAGAGAAGCAAGACATGCGAAGTCAGTTTCACATCTTACATTGGTAGATGTTGCTGAGCTTGGATCGCGTTGAGGGATTTAAGGTGTGCATGCTGAGGTAGATACAAGAGACTGGAACGATGCCAAAATTACACTGAAGGCCTATGTCCAACCATCCGCCGTCCGGTGACACAATGGCTTTAAGTGAGGGCCGACAGCCAGTCCATAGCTCGATGTGGACAACGCAGCGATCATGCCACAGCTCATACGTGTTGACAACGCCCACGGCCGTAAGCTCAATGAAGGTAACACTGATTGTCTATCTGTTCCGTCCCTCCGTCGCGTCCGCCAACCCGCCCCGCCCGTGACGCGCCGCACATCGAACACGCGACGACTACGCCAACGCACGCCTACGCAACGCACAGCTACCGCACGCACGCACACACAACAGCACACACCACACAACAGACACCACACACACACACACGCGCGCACAGGCCAACACATATATATACTAACTTTAGTTAGTACTACCGGTATATAGATAGTGAGTACATAGGGATCAGTGGTTAAGGGCAGCTGAAGAGGTATCTGCTAGGTAATATATGTGATATATGACTAGGTAAAATGCAACTTAACCGCAATAAAAACCATTTAGCCGCGGTTAAACGTTAAACAAAGCCTCTGATCGAGTAGATAAATATGTCTAACACGATAGTACGTAACAATGTATCAAAGATGACCTAGCTGGCCGACGTGTTGGCGACTGGCTGCATATTTAACATATAAATTTTATTTACGGTAATTGGTCACGCCACTGTTTGAGTGAAAAAAAACTTAATTATTACCCAAGAGCGGATTTTCGTAACCCGGGTTGTCGTAACACGGAATACTACTGCGCGTGTGTGGCGCGGACTAGCTAATAGCCATATATATATAAAGCTATAAGACTGGTTCATCATCTATGTTATAACCATAACCATCACCACATTACAACAAATATAACGCTAATACTAATTCCGTAACTATAAACCTTATGCAAACTTACGGTCAGGCAGAAAATCAAGAACAAACCAATGTCCGGTCACAGGTTGGGCTGCATTCAATGTCCGGTCTAGCTTCGAGGGAAAGAGGTAAACTTTTTGCGCGTGTAGATAGTATGTGTATGTATGCTGCCGTGTCCCACCTTCTCGCGCACGATTCTTACACAAACCAGAATGTCTTAGAAAGTTTGCTTCTTAGGCAATCACGGAGACAATAAAAGACAAACAACTAACTTTTCCAGAGAGAATAAGTATTATTGTTGTCCAAAAAATATAGTAACAATAGAGACCTTATTTCGGCTAGCTCATCTTTTAGTAGCAACCAGGGTGGATAACACTGTCAACTTAATCCGATCATCTCTAACTGCAAAATTAATTGCTCACAACACCATGTCTGGTCCTACTGTTTTTTTTTTGCATTTTAAACTTGCGTGGCGCATTTGCTCAGAATATCTTCTAACATACAATCACCAAGTGGGTACGAGCACTTACGTACGTAGTACCACACCGGAACCCGATAAAATAACCGAAAAGTTTACATGAAATTGTGGTAACACTACACCTAGGAGGCGACTGTATCCACATACTACACAACAAAAAATTATACTTAACGCAAGTTTACTCTGATAAATTATAAATCCAGAAGCTAGCATGTTGCGACCGTTTATATACTGCTACAGTAATATAAGCCATACTGCCAGAACTACAAACTAATGACCATATTATCGAGGAAAAGTAACGGATTTTTTTTAAACGAGCACGTTAGAGAAGATACAATTTATCAATAGAAATGCAATTTTTGCAACCAGAAATCTATAAAAGTACTTTCATATCCAGCGAGAAGAATGTGTTTTCTAGAAGCATTGGCTATATACCCAGAATCCATGTATAACTGCATACATGTATGCATAATATCAAGAATACCATGATAGAAAATATAATATAATATATAAATTTTCTATCATGGTACTCTTGATACACATATATCGAATATATATGAAAACATATAATCGTAAAACTGATAACTGATTTGAACACAAGCGGAAATCGGGGCGGGGGGAGGGATTTAAATTTCATAAACCAATATATTGCGGGCAGGTGGAGGTACAGGCTTGGTGGGAATTGCCACATCCTCCCTCTTAGAGAAAAGTCACGCACAAGATAACGTGCATAAAAGAAACTTTGAAGAAGTTGAAGGAAAATTGAGAAGGACGTTTACACCAGCTGTCAAGATGAATTTTTTTAATGGGAGCAGGTAGCCTATGCATCTAGCCTAGTGATGCACTAACACATCCTGGCCGGTAACCACCACACGTATGTATTCATATTACTAGAAGCCAGGTAATTTATACGGGGCTACACATAACAAATAGTAACATAATATTAGCATCAACTGCATAAATATCGCACATCAAGACCGGGCGAACAGCAGACCGTGCCCACTACAATAGAAGATACTTGTAACGGTAGGACTGGTGTACACACCGACAGCTTGCGAACAGTGGGCGTAAATTCACCTTGTCGCCATGCCAACTGAAGTTCGTGGAAGCTGGTGCAGGTCGGTAGCAACAGATAGCTTGCTCTCAGGCTTTGAAGCTTTAAATTACTAGCGCTGTTAAGGATTCCCTCTCCCGCTGCTCTCGGACTTTGAAGATTTAAATGATTAGTGCTGTTAAGGATTCATTCTCGCTCCGGCGTCTGCTGTGACCCGCTTACACATGAATCTGTGTACCCTACAACAGCAATAACTTCCCAGCAATTGACCACCACTGGTCTCTACCTACAATGCCGAATTCTGTGCTACAAAACGTCCTTTGAAGTTCAATTTTGAACTAATAGCCGAGCATTTCTCTTTTCTCTAGCTTGTTTCCGTGGTATACTTACGCTGCACGCACACCCAACTGACCCTACACCCTTACCTCTATGCATACCACGCAACGTACTCGTAAGACCTAGATATCTCACTGTGGCAATCTCACTCTTTCATCTACGGGTTCATGCAATGCCGCTGCCTATCTCCTACATTCACTGCACAGGCTATTTGAAATACAGTGCTATCATTACCAGACACTGGGTGCGTGGAAAACAGATATAGAGCGGGCGCGTGTTGACACGAAATGACGACCCTCTGCACTGACATCTAGCCGGCCGTCACCAAATTGGTTTCGATCGCCGACTGTACTGCAACACCACAGTTACGACACTAGGTATATAGTGGCAACGCGAGTAGTGTGACAGAACACGTGGGCCCACCACTACACCTTACTTCCGCGGGTGCACGTTCACAACAGACGTGCCAACGTGCCGTTCTTCGCCGCCAGTCGTGGGCTATCAGCGTCGGCCTTAAATAGAGCTGCGTTTCGACGCTCGCTCACGCACGCACACCAACATCTAAGGCAACGTGTTCCTGAAGTCGTTAGTCCGGGGACGGTCCGGGATCGGCTACACGAGGCGAGACAGCGCGTCGCTCGCGCTCACTCCTCTGCCTCTTATTTTTCCCTCTCTCTCTCGCTCTCCCTCTCTCTCTAAACTCGTCAGAGGCTGCTAGGCCACATCTGCTGTATGAACCGACGTGAACGCCTTCGGCATTTTCCGATCTAATTAATGACTGCGGCTAACGAGCCGATAACGTACGAGACACCCGCCCCGCGGCGGACGCCCGCCCCGCCTCGATCGAGATGCCCTTTCGGCAGGGGCGCGCGCGCACACGGGCGGCGAGGCTGTACACAGGGGCTTTTGCAGTTTTCGTCACACTTGAGGTCACGCCATTCGGTTCTCCGCTCGCGTCGTGGGGGGGCGCTGCAGTCGACGGGTTCGGTGCCGCGTCGATTCGGTCTCCTGCACAGTTTAGTACTGGGAGAACTGACTTGCCGGATTCTGGCCGTAGTAGGCGCGGTCACCCTGGTAGGTGGAGTCCTGCGACAGCAGCATGTCCGCCTGCGAACGGAACTCTTCTCCCAGGTAGCTATCCTGCAAGGTAGAAGACGAGAGATGCGAGATGAGAGCAAGGTATAATCAAACCTAGAGTCAGCGATCGCCGCTATAGTACTCAGTCACCTGTCTGTGAAGAACACTTTTGGTGTTTTTTTATGAACTGGCAGTTATTTAGTTTTACAAAATGGTCACCTGTCCATAAATGTTAATTTGGACATTTTCCTTGAATGACCTCCTCATATGTTTTTCCTGTACTGAACTGCTGTTTTCCATAGTACAAGACAGAACAGAATATAGCTACGAGGAGATTCCAGAAGATACCAAGAGCAAAACACCAATAGCTGCAAGTATGAACACCTCGAATCTGTACAATCTGTGCGCTCGTGAGCACATGAAACAGCCACTGCTTTTGTACGGAGAGTGCAAGGAAACTTACCTGCGACAATTCTGGCTGGGACAGCCCCGACAGTCCTGGCTGGGACATTTGGAATGGCTGACTCATCGACAGGCCACCCTGCGTAAGGGGCTGCTGTGAGTAGGGCTGCGATCCATCCGGCTGCAAGCATACCAACAATGAGTAAACACGAAGAACCACTCAAAGTGAATGACACAATCACATTCAATATATACATTCACATTCTTTATATTTTCTTTATTCACATATACACTTTATATTTTCTTTATACAAGAGACAGATCACGGCGACTTGCATAGCAGGCCTCTGTATGTGCACAAGTCCTACAACAATACTAAATCTTAAACAACTCGGGCTTCTCAAGTTTAATTTATAAACAGACGCCTAAACGATCGATGTACAGAGTCAATTCCATAGAGCTAGAACACGACATATCTGGCACATGGGCACTTCCAGCGTCCCATCACAAGAAGCAATCATGTAGATCTGTAGATGGGGCAGCGGATCGGATGCTATCGTTGCAAGGCCGTGTGCAGACAGAGAGGTCAGGCCAACACAGGTTGTGGTCGTAGAAGGTGACATTCAACGCTGCATGTGTGGCGTGCTCTGGTTACCTGACTCATGTTGGACTGCTGAGACAGCATGCCCGGCTGTCCACTCATTGGCTTCTTCTGACTGCGACGGCCGCTACTTTTGCTGCCCTGACCCTGCCTGCCTGGCCGCTGCGGTGCCATAGCTGCAGCGCAAATGGAAAAAGCAATAAAAATACAATTAGTTTAGTTGTTATTTTATATACGTCTAAGATTTTTTAATCTTATCATTCTTCTTTATAGATTCAGTCAGAATTAAATTATTAACTTACTAGGTAAGTAGAAGATCGTAACCAAAAATCTAATCAAGTTATATGTGCTGGAATCAGATTAAGTATAAATCAGGAGTAACAAAGCAAAACTAGTCTGAGGAAACATTCTTGGTTCAATCCATAACAAACAACCCATTAAACATTGGTTAATGTGTATGATTATGTACAACCATATTTGCCTGAGCATGCACTCTCAACACACGGCCACGTATGCACATATTTAAATTGATACTTACGTTGCATCTGCTGATTGTAGTACGGCGGAGGCATGGGTGCCATGAACATATTCATGGGTATCGGTAGACTGATTCCTGCCATATGCGCTCTCGATGGGTCGATATATCCCATGGGGTCATGCGTTCTCATGTAGTTGTCAGCCTGTCACATAGCCACGTAGTCATTAATTTGCTGCAACAGCTTTCCAATTGATTTTTGAATGCCTCGCAGGAAGTTTTCCCTTCACATCGCCACAGTACACATTGAAGGTCACCCCTAACCACATTCAGTATGGAACTCCGCAGAAATAAAGTATTCACTATGAAAGGAGTGGCTGTATAATAAAGGTAAGCATAGGTAGTAACACTACTGCCAGCTGCGGGCAAACAAAAACTCGGCATAAACTCACAAGGCGAAATCCTTGGATGAATAAATAGTGAGTTTACTGACATACTAATTCCTGTTTCACTGCGACAGCAGCTTCGGCTGACAGTCACTTTTCCTTATTTGCCATTAGTTGAATTACACTGTTAGCATGATTGACAGACTACCAATACATGTTAATACAGGGAACATTCTAAAAAGCAATGCTTAGTTCTCATGCACCGAGAAGTAGACATTTTGGTGCGCCTGACGTACAAACTGGGTTAGCTTGACTGATTTATCACCAGTAACAACAGGGGGCATGGTTCTCTTCACTCAGATAGATATTTCAGCTAATTAAGTTGATTAAGCACGAATGTTTCGCTACAACGTGGCAGCGGCACGCAGCCTGGATGTGTGTTTGGCGTACCTGGTAGGGGAGCGGCGCTGCACCGCCGCCGTTCAGCGACGTACGGCTGCGATCATACACGCTGCCAGGGATCATGACCTCACGAGCATCAAACATGGCCGTCGTCATGAAGCGACCGCCCTGGCAAACACACAAACACACAGTTGCACTTATTTACACTCGTAACGCGAGGATGATCGCATCTACACTGTAGCATAGACGTTGCAGGAAACACGACCTCAACTGGCTATACAAGATTCCTATCCACAGTACTACACCACACAGCTATAATAGGCATGGTCGTAGGGGTTGTCCGGATCAGCTGTGTAACTGATGATACATTACGAAAAGCTTGGGTATTCTCGTTTCTAAATTTATTAGCTTTACATTTATATAGCGCTACTGGAATTGCCTTCCTATAATGCTAAGGATGTGGCCGTTGAGATTCAGCTGACTTAATTAGTATACAGATGACACGAGAAGACACACATACATAAACAAACTTGCAATTTAAGCTTTAAGATTTCGACCACAGATTACATCCCATTTCTATAATGAAACATGAATTGAAACTCAACAAGAACATAGCAACAATTTTGATTTTCGTTTGAAAAACTGGGTGAAGAAATTGTGGGGAGCGAGAAACTAGATTCGTGTCAGAACGATAAACTCACGAAGTTGCATGGGATCTTACCGGATTCGTAGAGTTGATGAGTTTGCGTGGCTTGCTGAATTGTATCATGGACTCGCGTAGGTTGTTCAGTGGCCCTTCTACCAGCACCTTCTGCTCCTTGAAGTACGTGAGCAGGTGATTCCACAGTGGCTGCTTGGAGAGCACCTTGGGGTTTCCAACCACAATCAGGCCAAACCTAAGCAGACGAATTAATAGGATGATTGTAGACCCACATCAGCACTACATCTTCCCACAACTTGCTCAAATACGAGCCCGAATAGTCGAAGTACGAATAGAAAGGCAAAAATGTAAATATTAATTACATATAAATATATATATATATAAATTAATTAATATATTATGGAACTTTCTTCATTATTAGCTTCACCTCATTTACCAAGCAATTATAAAGGCCTCTGCCTGACAATGTGAAGTGACAGCAATATTATTTAACAGATTGTTGCAGCTTTCAGTGGGAGACCAACAGCTTCCATGGGGAGCGCTCTGAGGGCTGCGCGTTCAGAGGCACGTGTTACCTTGCCCTGGTGACGGCGACGTTGAGCCGGCGTGGATCGTTCAGGAAGCCGATGCCCTGATGCTCGTTCGCGCGCACGCATGAGAGGATGATGAAGTCCTTCTCACGGCCCTGGAACGCGTCCACGCTGGCGACCTCAATCTCCTATAAAAAAAACACCGGCAAATGAGACGTTGACGCCAGCAAAAACACATCTAGCCTCATCCACACTACCTGCCATGCTTACATGGCTAAAACTTCACGAAAATATACATAGACATAAAAGAGAAACGAAAAGAAAATAGACACGATAAAAAGACACGAAAGAGACATATACACAAGGCATAACACACAGTGGCATCAATATGTGGATCCCTGTGTGGTGCATAACAAACATATGGAACACATATATGCACACATGCCTGCCAGCACACACACACACACACACCCAAACACACGATTCTTTAATAAAACATAGCACCACTAATCTGTGAAGACCATACACGGTTACGCCACACCCTTAGTAAGAACGCAACAGGTAGAGCCTAGAGTTGAGCCAGCTGTCGCAAGCACCGCACACGACACACACACACACAAGGATTCCACCACAACACACAGCGACACTGATCTACTACGAGCAGCGACCGACGGTTGTTTCTGCCGCTGCTGCCGCTACGAGGGAGGAGTCACGCACCAGGTAGAGCTTGGCGTTGAGTGAGCCGTTGAACTGCATGAACTGCACGAGGTAGGCTCGCTGGCCCTCATACGGCGTGATGATGCCCAGCTGCTCCGGCTTGATGCGCCGCCTTCAGGAAGCGACGTGACAAGCTTCTCCACGAGCGCAGCCTCCGTCCTGCAAGCATCGTTAAGCATCCTCAATTACCGCCATTGTCATTATTATTATTGTTATTATTATTATTATTATTGTATTAAAGCATCATCAAGTGTCCTGCCGTCATGGTCAACGATCACAGTCAATGACTATTGCCAACAATAACAGTCAATAATTACGACCAATGATTACGGTTAACAATTGCGGTTAATGATTGCAGTTAATGATTGCAGTTAATGATTGCAGTTAATGATTGCAGTTAATGATTGCAGTTAATGATTGTGGTTAATGATTGCAGTTAATGATTGCAGTTAGCGATTGCAGTTAATGATTGCAGTTAGTGATTGCAGTTAATGATTGTTGTTAATGATTGCAGTTAATGATTGTGGTTAATGATTGCAGTTAGTGATTGCAGTTAATAATTGCGGTTAATGATTGCAGTTAATGATTGCAGTTAGCGACTGCAGTTAACGATTGCAGTTAATGATTGCAGTTAATGATTGCAGTTAATGATTGTGGTTAATGATTGCAGTTAGTGATTGCAGTTAATGATTGCAGTTAGTGATTGCAGTTAATAATTGCGGTTAATGATTGCAGTTAGCGATTGCAGTTAATGATTGTGGTTAATGATTGTGGTTAATGATTGTGGTTAATGATTGCAGTTAGTGATTGCAGTTAATAATTGCGGTTAATGATTGCAGTTAGCGATTGCAGTTAATGATTGTGGTTAATGATTGCAGTGAATGATTGTGGTTAATGATTGCAGTTAGTGATTGCAGTTAATGATTGCAGTTAATGATTGAGGTTAATGATTGCAATTAATGATTGTAGTTTAATGAAATGCGGTTAATGATTGCAGTTAATGATTGTGGTTAATGATTGCAGTTAATGATTTCAGTTAATGATTGTGATTAATAATTGCGGTATAACAACCGCAGTTAACAATTATGATGTTATGAAATCAAGAAATGTACTAATGAATCAACACGTTAGGATGGATTAATGCAAAGAAGGCCACGGTCAACTCGATGATAATTCCTAAACTCCCTATAATGGATTCGTGAGTCAAAATGTTGGACGGGCATACAAGAGCAATACTTCGGGAGACACTAGTCTGTGTGTCTGGTGCCAGGGTTAGTAGCTGTTACCAGTGGTTTTTACCGATACATTAGTTATAGCAGAGAAATATATGATAACTATGGAAAAACCTTCGAATGAATGATTTTGAAATGGTATTATGTGTAATAACAATCTCTGTTATTCTTATCATCTTCTATCTTTGATATTTTTGTAGTACTACTTTGTAGTTTACTTAGTAATATCTTACTGTAATAATATATACAAATGACAAAGATATTATTAACCTGTTTAGGTAGGATGTTCCAGAACTAGCAATCTCCTCTTGCCCTGTCGTAGCGTAGAAGAACATGGGCTTGTCAGCCTGTGGCCATGGAAAATCAAGCCCCTTGTGCTGATGGTCTGTAAAAATAGCAAACATAGAGAAATATTAAAAACCAACTATGAAAATCCAACTTTGAAATCGAAATGCCAGTTTTCACGTGCTGCAGCTAGATACTGCAAGTAATTCGACAGTAGTAATCCAAAAGTCCACAAAGTAATCCAAAAGTCCACTAGTAATTAACAAGATAAACGAAGGTGCGACTACTTGCAATAAAGCAGCCCCTGACCTGCCCGAACCCACTACGAGAAATCCTTAATGCAAACCGCAACCAAACGAACAATGAACAAAGAACGCTCACCGCTCGTGACTCCGTTCTGCAGGATGCCATCGTAGAATATGTTCGACGGAAACACGCTGAGGGCTGGATGCATGCGGTACTGCACCTTCAGCAGCAGGGGGCGCATGCCGAGCACGACCAGACGCTCAAACAGAGTCTGCGACAGGCCGGCGTGCGCCGCCTTCTTACACATAACGACTGGTCCTAGCTGGCAGTGATCACCGACCTACGCGAGAGAGCACAGTGAAGATACGACAAACGACAACAAGCAAACAACAATGCACGCGGCAGACCCAGCGGAAACCGTTAACACCACAGATTCACAGAGTTCAGTATGAGAAAAAGATGACCACCGTTTGATCATCATGAATCGTATGCTGATTACACCAGACGACTACCAAGGTACCACCAAGTACCTTGAGTGTTCCAAGTCCACCGTGTAGACACCACGCACGCACACGCACACAGACACGCACGCACGCACGCATTCATGCATGCACGCACGCACGCACG